GTGAGCGCTTGCCTGAGCCCCAGCCTGCACTACCACATGCCCCTGCTGCTGGTCAGCGGCTTCGCCTGCAAGGCCCTGTTCAGCGGGAGCTGTCTGCAGCTCTTCCTCAAACTGATCCTCGCCTGCCTTTGCCATCTCCTCAACTTCACCTTCGGGCTTCAGGTGAGGGCGGGACAGCCCAGTCCCCACGGCCCGGCAATGCGCCCGCTGCTCTCCAGAGAGTGTCAGGCCATCCCGGGGGCCTACGCCAGGCGGCCTCCCCGCTAGCGGACAGGCCGTGTATGGCACTTTCGGAGTTACTGGGCCCGGGGCGGGGTCTGTGCCCCGGCCACTGAAACAGTCTGTGCACCGCGTTTTCTGCACCATTCTGCGTGTTTTATTTGTCAGAATCACACCAGTTTCAGTTCGTTTGCTTGTTCATTTCACAGTGCCCCTCAGCAAGTGTGTCAGGAGCACACAGACACCAAAAAGGGTTGAGGAAATCGGTTTTGACAAACAGATCCCGTACTGGGCACATTGACACAGAACTCTGAGTGATTCTCATGTAAACTGCAAGACCGAAGTGTGTTTCCCGCGCCTCTCGGGAGCAGCGCGGAGTCAGGAGTAACAGAGGATGGGAGGGGGTGGGGAGTCGTTGCTGAGAAGGAGCCTGGGGGTGAGCTTGGAGCGGTTTGGGGTGAGGGTGGGAAAAATATGGAAAAGGTTCTTTTTAGGAGGAGGGATTGGTGGGGATTTCCTCCATGCAGACGCTGGCTGACCCCCAGCCTCTCCCATGTGTCCTTGCACCCCATGTTCACGTGTCCCTCCATCTCTACTCAGACACCCTCTCTCCCCGCCCCATGCCACCTTCATGTCCCTGTGTGTCTCTGAGCCCCCACTCAGCCATCTCCTGCCCCTGTGTGGCCCTACACCCCTCCCCTCTCTCTATGAGGCCCTGACCGTCCTCCCCTCCAAGGCCCTGCACTTCCATTCCCATTCAATCTCGGTCCCCATCTGTCTTCCCCACCCACCCTTATGAGCCTCTGCCTGTGTTCCTGTATCCCAGCTGCCGACCTGGCCCGGGATGCTATGAGGAAGTCGGGCTTTTTCTCTGCCCGGCTGCTGCTCTGTTCTAGCACCATAGCGCCTGCTGGTGGGCAAACGGCAGAATCGCTGCAGCTTTGGAGAAGCCCTTTTCCGAAATAACAGCGCGTGCAGCAGATGCAGTGGCCTAGAACTCCCCCAGCGTAGGGGGGGAGCCTGGGTTCCTTGGCTCACATCATGGACTCAAGCTTTGAGGTCCCAAAGTGCTACCAGTGGTGACCTTTCCCGAGAAGACTCAGTGCAGCTGCACATGGGAATTGCACCAACTGACTCTCACCAGTTTCTCAGTGAATTTTGTGAAATGGCTGCGGCCCCGCCGGGAGAGGCTGCTCTGAAGCACCGCGCAGCTCGCTCCCGCGGCCTCGTCAGACGTCGGCTTAGGAGCAAAGGAACACTGCGAATGAAGACAGCTCACGTGGCGGGGGGGTGCTAGTATCGAGGGTGGGCTGTGCATCTGCCACGGCTGTGACAATCACTGGCACTACCGAGCATTATCACTGGTAATAGTTCATTACAACAGAGCCTTCTTCAGGGTGAGATCTCAGCGGAAGACACGCCTGGGTCCTTTATACCTGGACTTGGACAAGCCCGGAGGAGTCCAGTCCTGCAGCACCGAGGGCGGAGAGCTGAGCTGTGAGGTCAGGCCCTTCCCTGATGTCTCGGGAGGCTGGGCAGGGATGGTTTCCCTCTAGCCTGTTTGCCAGGAGCTGGGAATGGGCACTAGAGAGTGGTTGATGGTTACTCGCTCTGTTCGTTCCCTCTGGGGCAGCTGACATTGGGGCAGGATATTGGGCTAGATGGACCTTCAGTCTGACCCGTCTTGTGGGTTAATCTGGACAAGGAAGAGCTGGGTTTGATCTGAGGAAACGCCGACTGTATGGCGAGCAAAGCTGAGGCCCAGGTTCCCAGGGGAGCCCCCCTCATTGGAGGTTTGTAGGAGCAGGGGGCTGGCTTTGATGACCTCTCGAGGATACACGCACGGTCTCCGCATGCTGCTCGTCTCGCAACGGAACCATTTTAGAAGCCTCGACGCAGCAGAATTCCTTTCGTTAGCACAGCCCATTAATATTGGATGCGTCGGCCGGGTACTGCCATCCATCTCAGCAGGGCAGCCTGCTAACGATTCAATCCGACTTGCTCTTAATGAGCACGGCCACCCCAGGTTCCAGCACCGCCCGGACCCCCGCCGAACTCCCACGGCATTCGAATGCTCCATGTTTAAACCTGTCACTCACGCCCGTGCTCGGGAGGAGGGCCCTCTGTAACCGCTGTCCCCAAAGGGTTAATTCACGGGCGTGCTGCAGGCTTAAAGCTGTTCTTTGTTCTCCGTCGGACCAGCGTACGTCCCGGATAATTCTTATGGCTTCTGGAGGGCTACTTTCAATCGATGTGCCACATTCAAGGGTTAGAACACCTGCCTTAGAGTAATAGACTCCCGAAAGCTCCGTCTAATTAGCTTAGCAAAGAGAAGCCTAAATGGCGAGTTGATTACACTCCGTAAGTACTTCCACAGGGAGCAAACATTGAATAATTGTGTCTTTGACCTAGCAGAGCAAGTAATAGAAGATTTGGTAGCCGGAGGTTGAAGCTACCGGAGATAAGGCACACCTTTCTAATGGTGAAAATAATTAACCCCTGGAACAATTCACCAAGCATTCAGTAGCTTCCCCATCACTGACAATGCTAAATCCAGATGAGGTGTTTCCTCTAAAAACTCTGTTCTAGGGCAAGTTTAGGGAGGGTTCCCTGGTCTGGGTTATACAAGAGGCCGGATTAGATGAGCGCTGTGATCCATTCTGGCCTTGGAATGTAAGGGACCATCAGAGAGCGGAGTTTGGCCCATGATGAGATATAGAGACCCTTACAGAAGTTTTGAACTGAGAGGAGCAAAAGGGAGATCTGGGACCCGCCTAGGGATTCGGACACCCAAACTATATAATGCGCTTCTGGGATTGTCACCTGTCTGTGTGTTACGCTACAGCTTAGACTGTTGAGTCAGGGTGAAATGAAAGACACAGCTACAAGTTCATTTGTTTAGAGCAGTGGTTCTCAACTCGTTTCAGTCCACGGACCACCAGGCCAATCAACACATTTTCGTGGCCCACCTCCTTTTTGAGACATAATAAAAAAGAGCAGACAACGAACATTTTGGCTTGAAATTTATTTCTTACTAACAGATTTTTGGATTCTCTTCTCACTCACAAGCTTTTCAATGTTTGGAGCGGTACTTGCTAATGCACAATGAATATCGTTTTCCACTGCGAGCCCATTCCTCTGTTTGGACTTAACGTGCAACAAACACGAAAATCCAGTCTCTCACATATGATGCAAATGGCAAAAGAAATCTGACTGCTTGTGCTGACAGATTTGGGTAACTCCCGGTCATGCTGGCCCAAATTTTCTCTATGGTAGACTGCTGGTACACGTCTTGAGCCGCAAAATCATTTTTCAGATCCAAGAATTCCTCCTGCAGATCCTCTGGAACACTATTAACATCTGTTGTAAATGGATTCCTGATGAAAGATAATCCACCCCTTCTCCTGACCACCTCCGGAAAGTATCGTTGGAATTGGTCTCGTAGCTTCCGTAAATGATCGAGAATTTGCGTCCGAATGGCTTCCTTTTCTCCGAGCATGGCATCCACAAATGGAAATTGAACCAAATTATTGCCTTCGACTCTTACGATCCAGAGTTCTAATTTGTCAAGAATAACCTTGATGATGCTTTGGTGAGAGAACAGATTTGCACCTTTCTCTTGCAGCTGAAGATTCAGTTTGTTCAAGATTCCAAAAATATCGACAAGATACGCAAGTTC